AACTTCAATCGATAATGAATAATATATCATCAATAATTAAATAATTATAATTATTATTATTATTACAAAGTATTTATATAGCGCGGAATAAACTTCCAAGTGTAGAGCCATCATCGTCATTCAGTATAGGAAACCTTTTATAATAGATAATAATGTTATGGAAAGCCGAAAACGATCGGCCGTTCAAAATAAACGACGGTGACGTCATTGCCGATGTTGCTTTTCTGTCGTTTGTTATGACGTTCGCCGTGATGCGGTCCCTGCGCTTGTAGTAAAGCTTGTAGCAATCCTAATCAAAATTATGAAATTATTCTGAAATTATGATATTATTATGGTGTTATTATGAAATTATTATTATATTATTATTACAAAATTATGATTTTATTATGGTATTATCATGAAAGGATTGTAGTAGTATCATTATAGTATTATTGTGATATCACAGTGAGACCATTATAAAATCATAATACCATGATAATTAAATACAATTAAATAACAATAAATAATTAAATAATGATAAATAAATGAATAATAATAAATAATTAATTAATAATAAATAATTAAATAATAATAAAACTGACTGACCCCAGTCTGACAGATGAGAAAAGTTCTATCTAAGCCATCTTTCGCCAGTTTCTCTTTGATGTCACCAAATTTGGATTCACTTGAAATCCAGACGTTCAGCGAGTCAGCCGTGTTCAAACCGTTTGCATCCAGGTTGGAGTCTTTCTACATTGGAGAAAGGAATTATTGTTGTTATAGTTAAATAATTAATTAAATAAACAAATAAAATAAAATAAATAAATGAATAAAATATAAAAAAAAATTACTAACGAAATAAATTCTCCAGTAGATAGCCGGCACCCAGCCCACCTTGCTCGTCTTAGCCCCATCTAGCAATCGTAACAACAGCCAGCCATTGTTACTCACGTAGTATAATATTCCGAACTGTTTTATTAGAAAATAATAATAATAATTGCAATTAATATTATTATAAATATTATGGCGATTGTTGTATGTAAATTATAGATAAACTTAATGGTGTATTCTGTTTACATGTAATTTTGAATGCATTAGGAGCTGTGGGGAACTCATTTACCTGTAACTTCTTAAACGTTAAGACATCTTTCTCGCTGGTAGAAGCCTTCCTACCGGCCAGAGAGTATGCGATGATGTGGCTGTCCAAGTCGCTCTGGTTCAAATCCGATACAGATAATTTCGCTAGCTGTAAATATTATTACTGTGATTAATTGCGATTAATTGTATAGTGGTTTGTCATTAAGTGATTGTTATGTTACATTCGTTCGTTCGTTCTTTAATTCGTCCTTTCATTAAATCATTCTTTCATCCATCCATCCATTCATTCATTCACTCAATCATTTATTCATTCATTCATTCATTCATCCATCCATTCATTCATTCATTCATTCATTCATTCATTCATTCATTCATTCATTCATTCATTCATTCGTTCACTCATTCACTCATCCATTTATTCATTCATCAATACATCTATCCATTCCTTACCTTCTCCTTCTTAACTGGCTTCATCTTCTCGTCACAGTTGGCCGGCTTTGTCGGAATGTTGAAACGAAGCGAGGGGTGGGAATTCTTGAATTTGTCGCAATACTCCGGAACTATAAATAATAATAACAAAATTATTATTACTACTACTACAACAACTACGACTACTACTACTACTATTACTACTACAACAACTACGACTACTACTACTACTATTACTACTACAACAACTACGACTACTACTACTACTATTACTACTACAACAACTACGACTACTACTACTACTATTACTACTACAACAACTACGACTACTACTACTACTAATACTACTACTACTTCTACTACTACCACTACTACTACTACTACTACCACTACTACTACCACTACTACAACAACTACTACTACTACTAATGGTAGTAGTAGTAGCAGCAGCAAAAGTGGTAGTGGTAAAAGTCCTATTGTTATAAATTGTAAAAAAAAACCAATTGATTCCTCATATATAATCATATCATATACACATACATAATTACCAGTTGTTAATCTGTCATCAGCTGAATCTGTCATGGCGGATGATGACGTCATTTCAACGTTTTGATGAGTTTTGTTGTTGTTATTTTTGTTGATGTTGTTGTTGTTGTTATCAATGTTGTTGTTATTGTTGTTGTTATCAATGTTGTTGTTATTGTTGTTGTTATCATTTTTGTTGATGTTACTTTTGAAATTTTTTGACTTAATAAAATCGTTGTTGTTAATGTAATCATCCTCGTCGTTGTTGTCATTCTTTATGTTGTTGTTGTTGCTTTTGTTGTTGTTGATATTGTTGCTGTTTTTAGAAGTTATTGATGATGAAGGTGCTTTTTTGGGCATGGCGTATAACTCGTGTTCATTGAATTTTTTTTCATGTTGTTGTTGCTGATGTTGTTGTTTAGTTTCTGTCAAAAATTGTTCATCTACTAATCTACTAAACTGAATAAACATAGAGAAAAATAGAAAAAGAGAGGAGAGAGGGACAAGGGAGAAAGAGAGAGAGAGAGGAGAGAGAGAGAGAGAGAGAGAGAGAGGAAACAGACAGATACAGAAAAAGAACAAAGAAATCTAAACACAATAAGAGGAAAAAATATAGGAATGATTAATAATAATTGAAATGAGATGAAAAAAATGATCGATAATTAATCAATAATTATATTAAAATAAAAATAATATAATTAATAATAAAAGTAATAATTTTTTTCCTAAATTAACCTGGCGTGTGTAACAAGAGGCAGTCCGAGCTAATGTTTACCACGGGAACCTTTAGAGATTTCGGCTCTCTTTGCAACAAGATGCCGTGTAGCGAGTTAAGTTTTAAAGTATTACTCTGTGTGTGTGTGTATGTATGTGTGTGTATGTATGTGTGTGTATGTATGTGTGTGTATGTGTGTGTGTACGTCTGTGTGCCTGTAAATATAATGATAATAACCACAAATATATCTCCAACTCTTGCGACAGTCTTGTCCTTATCACTGCAGAGACAATCCTTGATCACCTTGTATATGCGTTCTTCTTGCTGAAATAAATATAATAATGATAATTGAATTAATAATAATAATTAAGGTAATAATAATAATAATATTTTACTTTTGGCTGGCTTAATACAACGACTTCTGCGTAATGACTCTCTCCAACTACGTTCTTGCTGGCATTTTTCCTAAGTTGTTTTAAATTGGGTAAGGTGTGAGATTTCTGTTGGCGAATGTGGGAATGGTGTTGTTGTTGTTTGTATGTTCGTTCATTTATGAAAACAATTAGCCATTATTAACTCATCCTTGTCATCAGCATCGTTAACTTGACATTGTGTGTGTGCGTGTGTGTGTGAGTCGTTGGAAATTTGTTGTCGAGTTGAGTTTAGGCGTTGTTGTTTTTAACGATAATAATAATAATAATAATGAAAATGTTGTTGATGAGGATGATGCTGTTGTTGTTGATGATGTTGTTGTTGATGATGATGATGAAGTTGATGACGATGATGGAGTTATTGTTGATGATGATGGGGTTATTATTTTAAATGACCAAGAAAACTCACTTATGGAAATCTAATTCAACGTAATCTGCCATCTTTTCATGGATATTTTATTATTAATAATTCGCACGGATATTATAACAGCAAAAAATTCTAGTTAAACAATTTAATCTTATAATCATTAAATGCCTAAAAAATAATATTCCATAGCTAAAAAGTGCTTTCCGTTAATGCTAATGAAATAGGCATTTAGAATTTACTACGTTTCAAATAACATATAGATATATATATATATATATATATATATATATAAAATTTTAAATAACAAATAACATATATATAACGTTTTAAATAACATATATATATATATATATATATATATATATATATGTGTGTGTGTGTGTGTGTGTGTATTTTACGTTGTCTTTATCATCCTATTGGTCCACAGTAATATTTCTTTACTAACTCATGTATTCACTCACTTTTTCACTCTCTCATTATAAATATTCTATATTTGTATACAGGCTCTCTCTTTCAGGATATATATATATATATATATATATATATATATATATATATATATATATATATATATATATATTGGATTAAGACTGTCAGAGATTTTCATCAATATATATATATACATGTGTATGTATATATTTCTATGTGTATGTGCTTCACATTAACTTCCTTCTTATGATCTATAAATAGCTAATATAGATTGTAGATGCAATTAAATTTTTTTCGTTTATTTTCTCACTAAATGTATTCTTTTGAAGTTGATAAATTGACGTTAATCAACCAATCAATCGATCAACCAATTAACATTCATTCATTCGATCAATCATTCAAACACTGTCACAGGTGTCACAGGTAGCAAGTGACGTCACATAATTTGTGACAGCCACTGTACAGTTACAGACGCCTCCATCCCTTCATGCCTTGATCAGATCAGATTTTGTGACACAAACAATTGTAAGCCGAGCTCAGCTGCCGAAATGTTAAGCCACAACGCGTTCTTTAGTAAAAGTTTTAAAATAATAATAACTTGTTCGTTTCTACAGATTTCATGTTCAGTTAATAAAAATTTGTAAAAATTGTGGTAAAATTTAAGCACTAGGTAGAAAGCTTGGAGTCATTATTTCGAGTTTTTCCAAAAAAGCAGCGCTCATTAACGATACTTTTAGACGATCGATTCACATTTTTGAAGCCTCTTTTATTGTCGTTATCATCATTATTATTATTATTGTTGTTGTTGTTATTATTATCACTATTATTATTATTTTCATTGTTTAGATTAATATCCCTATTATTAGTAGCTGTATTATTATTATTATTTTTTATCACTAGGTCTCCACCCGTTAAAGTATTTCGTTAATTTTAACGATTCGAAACGAGACAGGTTGAATTCTTTCTCCAACAAATCCTGGTCCAAGCAGGATAGCAGCTCCCCGTCAACCTATGTAATTTGTTGCATTTATGATTATTGTTGTTAATATTTCTAAACTTTTCCTTCCTACTTCCACCGAAGACTAAATGTAAGATACTTTTACAAACACTTATAATCAGTCAGCCTTATTGCTTTTCATAAGAAAACTTACTTTATAATTATGTTTCAAAGCACAGTGAAAGAAAATTATACGACTAAGACACTCGGTTATGTAAGATGACTGGCAATATAAGTAAATGCAGTCTATACTAACGCATGCATGAATAAATTAACACAAACTAGCATAAATTAGCATACACTGACCAGAGTTAATTCACTCAGACACGCCATACATACATACATACTTGTTTTTCATTGAACTGCTTGATGTGTTTGTCCATATTGAGTTCTCGCAATAAATTTTCAACATCTGCTATACTGTAACTTCTTATATCGGTTGAATCTGGCCTACAAGGTACATCCCTATTTTCACCAACTTTACTAAAAACCGAAATTTTCTGCTGATTATTAGGTGACGGGGACGTTGATGAAGTGGAAGACGGTCTTGAGTTTGACCTAGGCATAATTTCGGGTAGGAGTTTGACTGGAGGTGATTTTGGCGGTTTAGGTAGTATCGGAGGCAATTTTTTAGGGTTTGTTCCATCTGTTTTACATACATTTGAATCGATATCTTTATAACCTTCACCATCCAAATTCGGCTTTGGACTATTGACAATTTTAGGTGGTGTCGGAGTCGGTTTTTTAAAGTCCGTTTCATCTGTTTTACACACATCTAAACTGATATCTTCATAATCTAACTCGTCATCTGAATTCGGCTTTGGGCTATCTACAATTTTTTCCTTTTTATCAAAATTTTTAAAAGTTTCTGGTAATGGGGGCAAACTTTTACTTAAGGAGGTGTTTATCCGTTTGTTTATTTCATTGGGTAAAGGGGGTAAACTTTTAGGGATGGCAGGTAACTCCACGATTCTAATTTCCGTCGAGGGATTCAGCCTTGGAGGGGGGTGGATGACGTAGGTGTTGCCTTTTGAGATGTCTTTTAGATCGGACTTGACGGCGTCAACTGACAGCCTGTTGTCCAGAGGATTGATGTATTCGTACGCCGAATCTTCAGGGTTTCTCGGAAAGATTATTATTTCTGTTGTTGTTGTTGTTCTAGTTTGATTTAATAATAATCAATAACAATGGTAATAACATCAATAATAATGACGTTACTAATACAAAAAACCCATAAAAACTGTTCATTTATATAGCGGCAAAAAGACACACAGTCGATAGCAAGTCATTTATACAGTGCTTTACCCATACAAACCTAACCTTGACAAGTGGTTACGGGAGCTCTTGGAAAGGTCTTAACGATATTATTGACCAAAGACAACCAGGATGTGAAACAATTGACGGGATAATTTACAAATCCAACTGCCGCTGTCAGCTCTATGTCCAAATATACCGGGATTCCGCACGTTCTGGCGTTTATTTTGTCTTTAAAAGTAAAGTTGAATTTAATTAAATTTGAATTATAATACATTATATTAATGATGTTCTAATGATGATCAAAGATATAAAACGTCAACACCATCAACAACAAAAACAACAGACAGACAGACAGATAGATACACGCAAGATCGAACTGTTATCAAAAATTTCCTGCCAAAATTTTAGCGAAATCCTTAAAACCAAAAACGTTGTTGTTCGTGATTTGAAAAAGTACGCCGCAGTGCAATGTGTCATTTTATTGATATTCCAACAGCAACCATAACAACAACAACAACAGCAGCAACAACAACAACAACGGTGACGAACTTAAGCAGATAGGGTATCCAAGCAGGTATTTTTCATCATAGGTATCCAGTACCTCCATAGAACCAAACCGGCCAAAATGTCCACTTTCTGACCCAACTTGAAAGTGCATTTTATCGTTGTTCTCGCATTCTATGTAAACATTTTGCTTTCTATGTTCGTAGATTAGGTTAAGTATATGCTGTAGTTGCCGGGCTGTTTTGGTCAGTCTTTTTCGTTCTGTGTGCGTGCGTGTGTCTGGTGTCTGTTTGCTTGTCTCTTTACGTGCGTGTGTGTGTGTGAGTGAGTATGCGAATGTGTGAACCTGTTTGAATAATAATAACAACAATGACAACAACAACATCAACAACAACAATAATAAAACCAGACCGTTCCCGACGTAAACAAAGACGTGAAATTTGGCGGGGTGTTCGATGGGGATGGTGCAGTACTTGTCCTTGTCCCGCATGGAGGCCACCACCCTCTTCTGACGCTGTATGTCGTATATCCAGTATATCTGGAGAAATAATATTAATCTTTCATTCAGCAATAAAATCAATGGAAATGGCAGTACAAATAAAATACAATAATCAAATGAAATAAAATGTCAAATGCAATAAATAGAGTATTAATCTGAGAAGCTCATTATCCGAATGAAGAGAAGAACACGACCAGAGTTAATTAGTTTTAAAATTGATTCGTTTCACATTTCTGTCGCAATAGATAGCGTACGACGATGATATGGCAGAGTTTATAATATATCTAAGTTATAGTTATAACTAAGTTTATGATAATAATAATAACAATAATAATAATAACCTCGTCCCCACCAACAATATGAAGATCGTCGACCCCCATTAGCCCGGACAGAGTGCGGATAAGTACCGGTAAATTTTTAGAGAAGCACGTGATGAATTCGGGCATCGTGAACTCTCCCTCCCAGTTCACCATATCCATGCATGATCTTCTTGTCAGGCTCTTGGAAGATAAAGTTGATCTCATTTAACTGATTGGTTGGTTGGATGGATGGATGGATGGTTAGCTGATTGGCTGGTTAGCTGATTGGCTAGTTGGTTGATTGAATGATTAGTTTGTCAGTTGATTGAAAGGCCGAATACTTTGAAATTAATAACAACAATAACACTATCTATAATTACGTTAAAACTAAAGCTAGCAACGATTACAAGTTATATATATAAAACATCTTTTATATATATATGTGTATATATATATATGTTGGTAATAGACCATAGTTTTTACAATATTCTATAAATTCTACCGTATGTTTGACGTTAATATGTTTGTAGTTCGTTTTTTCGATTATATATATATATATATATATATATATATATATATATATATATATGTCAATCAAAGCATTTGTCTCATTCTATGTAAATTATAAACCTGGTTTCTATATTAATTGTTCAGCTGCCGCTAAATATATATATATATATATATATACATATATATATATATACATATATATATATGTATATATATATTATGTTATTATATAAATATATATATATATTTATGAAATATATATATATATTTATATTTATTATATATATTTATATATATTATAAATATATATATATATTTAGCTGCCGCTAAATATATATATATATATATATATATATATATATATATATATATACACGTGTGTGTATATGCTGGCGTATGTTTCTTTATATGCATTTCTAGTGCAGCATATAAGGAACACGGAAGCTTT